TGCGTACCCACATTTCTCCTGGAGTCGACAACGTCCGATGAAAGGCTCTGCAAGTGGTAGCTAGTGATCTTGCAGAACCACTGACTGTTTTCTATCAGCGATGTCTAGAAGAGAACCATATTCCACCAGTATGGAAGCGAGGAGTTATCACTCCTATCCATAAAGGAGGTAGCCCCACTGCTCTTGCCAACTACCGTCCAATAACACTACTTCCCGTACTAGCCAAATTGATGGAACCAATCCTCGCAGATTCGCTGATGCTGTACCTGGCAAGCCACGACTTAACAGCCCCAGAGCAACACGGCTTTCGTCAAAAGCCTTTGTGTAATTCTAACATATTGCTTGCACGTAATAGCTGGACTGAGGCTGTTGATGGTGGAATAGGAGTCGATGTCATCTACCTGGACATTTTAAAAGCGTTTTATCACTTAGACCATCGAATTCTTTTTCAGAAGCTTCGGAACTACGGCATTGGTGACCCAATCCTGAGTTGGATTAGCAATTTTCTACACGAACGACGGCTAGTGGTGAAAGTGCGAGAATCATTGTCTGATGCAATCGAGGTGGCGTGTGGAGTACCACAAGGCTCCATGCTTGGACCTCGTCTATTTTTGGTATTCATTAACGATTTGGCAAGACCGATGGCTTCCAATTTCCTATTTTTCGCTGGCGATATCAAGATATGGCGAAGGACAGAGGACCGGACGACCACGAACGGCTCAAGTGCGATCTTAACACGGAATCGAACTGGTCAGTTCAAAACGCCCTACCATTCAACGTAGACACATGTCGCGTTCTACACTTACGTCACAGACATAAGTACACATATTTGCTTGGGACAAACGGATTGCAGACCATCTCCCATGAATGTGACCTTGGTGTGCTCGTACAGAGCGACCTCTACTGTTTAAAACAGGCTGAGGTAGTTGCGAAAAGAGGCAACCAGCACGTCGGCATAGTGCGAAGAGCATTCGGGAGATTTGACCCATCAATCTTCCCAATGATGCACAATTCCTACGTGCGCACGCATGTTGAATACGCTATCCAAGATTGGAAACCTTGGTTTAAGTGCGACCTAGAAAGGTTAGACGCACCACAACGAAGAGCAACAAATAATGTAAAAGGCCTGCGCCATCACTCTTAACACCGAGAGCTGAAGTTGCTGGGACTTTTCAGCGGACGCTAACGAAGGCTGCGCGGCGATCTCATATTAACCTATCAGATATTGAGTGGCTCCAACCACGTATGCCGCCATTAGTTGAAACTTAGCCACAACAAACAATTCAGGGATAACTGCTTAAAATTGAAGAAACAATATAGCCATCTAGAGTGTCGACGGAATTACTTTTCCCTCCGGGTTTGCAAACCTTGGAACGCACTTCCTGACTCAGTTGTATCCTCTCCTACCCTGGATGTTTTCAAAAAACGATTAGATGTTGCTCTTAGCTCCCAACATTTTGTTACCTAAATTCCCCTACTGTGGATTACGCCAAGGATGCATTTCTACAGGCTTTCTGTATCAAATGGACCTAAGTGAGCGACCATATTTTACTTTTCTCACTCTTTACCTCAATGATCACTGCACCCCAGTGTCTTTCTGCATGTTTTCGCCAGAGAATTTATTTTAATTTTACACTGATGTTGCTTATCAAACTATTCATATCGGCAGACGTTCGGTAAATTACCCACATATATTTTGATTTCATCGTATTCACCCCAACCATCCTAAGGGACGTGACAAGCGCTATTTTTTATCCCGTGATAAATCATTGTTCATTGATTAGTGAGGCGTTTCTGGTTGTTAGCCTGTATCGCTGCAAAACGCTGGATGGTTTACACTTGAGTAGACCACATGTGTCCGAATTTCTGAAACAACATGGGCTGTTCCAGTATTGAGCCTTGCAATAGTCGATTACTTCAGTTTCCGAATCCGTGTACCACTGTGAAATCGAACGGCCACTTGGCGCCTGCGTCTGCAATCAAAATAGAGGTGGCTTACGTCAGTACATCTTTAGCTTCAGACCCAGAAGCATACAGACCTCATCTTGCGTAGATCAGAAGGAACGAAGCTGTTTAGCAGCTACAAATGCTTCGGAATAGACTTGCACTCCCTTAAGCAGCAAATCTCTAATATGCCATTACCCAAGTTGGACTCTATGTCACATTCACGATATTTTATCGACAGCCAACCTTAAAACGGGCGGAATGAATTCGTCAATATTCTCCGGAGACTAGTTGGTGAGGAGCTCCGGTTATACTTCGACGGCATAGACTAGATCGCGTGTTAGGGTGCGATCGCAGATGTAAGCTTGGCTGTTTCTGAGGCGCACCACCTACAGGCATTATGGACGCGGATCTGCAACATGGCGTCGCTCGATACCTGGTCAGTGGTGTGTTACACTCAACCGAAATCAGAACAACAGTATTGTAGATGGAAGTTTAGTAAAAGCAATGGCAATAGTACATCGGCAATCCACACTTGGTACAGATCAATTGTTTAGTTTTACGCAGTTCACATGTTTAGCTAAACACTCGCTTTTGAACCAATCAATAGGCATCGCTGGTTAGTCGGGAGACGGACACTTACGCACTAGCGCGCACAATGCAGCTCCACAGATTAGGTAGTGTAGCATGACCTTGACGCGCTCAACGTCTGTATCATGGTGCATCCCGGAAACTTACTTTACACAAGTTTCAGATGGCGTTGTTCCATCCTTTGATGTCAACATGGAACCCGCTACACTGTTCTGATCATGATCTGATACAGTCCCAATTTTCTTTGAATGGCACCGAAAAACACTGTAAACAATTCCTTCTAATAGTAACTCAAAAATTACTTTCAGTCACTATAAGGAAAGCTGTCAGGAGAAAGAGGCAAGTTAAGTTCGATCATTCTGCCTTCGCAGGTTAGCTCATGTCTGCTGGGAGCACAGTGTGAGTAATGAGCTTGTTCAGTCTCCTATATTTGGTGCTGAAATAGCGAGCGAACCGCTCAGCACCGTTATTTCACGAACAAAAGTGCGAAAGCTGTGCCACGCGTTGCGCATACCAGCCCACCGCCTCCCGTGACGTGCGTTGTTTGCTTACCGCGGGTGTTGATGGAAGAAGAAAGGGGGTAACCAAATGATGACTTGTTCAAGTGGAGTCAAGGCCCTTACTTCGGAGTTGGCTTCAGCTGGAGCCCATCGTCTTCCCGATTAGGGCTCGAAGGATGATGAACACATTTACCTGGATACACGTGTTGACATATCCAGGGGCCGACTTCAGTGGCATTTATGTTGCGAGTTTATCTGTCCCTCCCTTCCAATCACGAGCTCATTTACCAGGCATAACATAATTCTTTCTTCGCGGCGCAAGAGTCGGCTGTTAACTCCACGGAACGATGAGCATCCGTTACTGGAGGCTCAACCGGCGTTCCTCTGCTAAATATTTTTCCTCTCATGTATTGTGGCACAATATCTGAGGTGTTTTCAACATCTAGCTAAAGTGTAGAGTAATGATGATAGGTAGGGCATGAAGTTGGATAGGAAAACCTTTCTCCAGCCATATTTGGTGAGAGGCCCATTGTTTTGTATAGGTCGGTCAACACTGCACCGTACACTGGTTGGTGGACCTGATAGAGTTCAGTGGAAGAGACCCTACTGACATCGAACGCAAGGTGACCAGACGGGATGTTAACAACGGGCTGATTCGGAGGCTTGGTCTGCCGCCTGTGCTCAGAAAATGAGACAGTATCGATGGGTAGCTTCCATAGATTTTGTAAGATGATACGCACCGAGGTTTCCATGAAAACATACACTGCGGTAAGCAATAAAAACCCTTGTGTCCAACTTCGCAATCAGGGAACACTGTTTGACACGAACAAGCGTATCTCTGCTGCAGTGCACGACGTTTTCAGTAAAGCAACTTCCCAGTGTCCAGTTTGGGCTCCTTTATCCTGTTTTTGCTACTTTACAGTCTTTCTTTTCACCATACTATTTATTATTAGCCCCATGTTTGTGGACAGAAGCCAAGTGTGCATTAAAAGTCGGAGCATCTAGTTTCCTATGCCTAAAAGCGAAACAGACGGTGACCTTATCCATCGGATTTTGATGTTCCATTGTATTATGCAGTCAGCCCAATGGGAGCGGTAAATTTGACAAACGTTCTCTATCAACTTATTCACTGCGCGTACGTGTATCTCACCGTTTTCATCGTACAATGGGTCCGGCTGATGTTGTAGCACACGTCGGTCCACACATTGCTTACCCAGGTGGACGCCAGACAGAACGATGTCAAGCAGACCATACCAATGAAGCATAGAGGCTGTACTAGTCTCATTCACTATGGCTGGTTAGCCTGGCATTTCTTGTAGTGGCTTGAACACGGTGTGGCTGTTGATGGGCTTGAGCGTTATCTCTGGCAAGCCTCTATGGTTGGCGATTTATATCAATCGATCAGACCACATCCACTTCCTGGTAAGTTCAAGTCCGGCTTGTTCGTTCGTACATTTTGATCAATTACGTTAGGGGTACAGCAGTACCATTTACCTGTTAATATTCTAGCCCACTCTAAACATGACAACTCCTCCAGCATTCGTACATCATATGACATCACAATCAAAAGGATGTTTTCCGATTATCAAATGTAAACTGTTGATATCACGCAATCTTTGAACTTTTCCATTGCAGCAAAATTGCTATAGTGGACGAGTCCGGGGTTCTGACGATGCACTCCGTTGACACAGAAGACCGCGGTGCAATGTCGGATGAACAAAAACGAGTCTCAGAATTGCACCGAAAAGACGTTTGGGATATCAAATTCGCTCAGGTGATTTAAGAAGTACAAGGCTACACATAATGACGTTCTAGGTATTGCAGTTCTACAAGCACTACGGGGTTTTTGTCTGAACGATTTTGAAGTCCATGTCCAAACGCTGCATCAAATAACTGACCATAACCCATCCTATTTAGGTTGATTGCATATTTATGTATAGTTCAGTTACAACAGTAAGTGAGCTTTAACAGACGGATTTTTGGTTCTAAGCTATTTTAAGTGAATATAGCTAAATGAAGCGGTCAAATGACGTAAGTCGACTCAGTTGAGACATCCTCGTTCCAGCGCTTTAAGATCCTTGGATGTAGAATAAAACACCGTGTCTCCTACATCATTGAGGCCCCTTAGTGTACAGTTTCAAGCATACTAGATTTAATCGAACTAATAGCCCACTCTTAGAGCAGAATGAGAACTGGACGTTCGGACGATAGATTACCCTTGGAGCAAAAAGGACCGCATATAGGGAGCAACTCTCACACGTTCCTTAAAAATAACCTTTTTATTGATATAGCTATAGCGGAACCGATGAGAAGACCGAAGTACCTGGAGCAGTATTGTTCCTCATAAGTTCTGTAAATCATATCCGTCAGCGTCTGAAATCTATGTGAGCAGCAGACCAACATCTCTTTTGCATAAGTTGGTATCTGATTTGCTTCCAGGTTACCTTTTTTCCCGGACTCGGTTAGCATCACGGAGGCCTGGATTCGCAGGAATTTCCCCGACTAATAAACATTCTTCCTGTCGGCATGGAAACTTTTACTAGTTACACAAACTATGGGGAAACTCACTTTCGTGTAAATAAACACCAACCAATCAGCGGAACCAAACGGACTGACAAGTTTGCTAAATTCACGTCCGCTTGACTACTGTACTGGACCTCAGTTTCACCTATTTACTTAGACTACATATGCTTATCATAGAGACTTCTGCCGATTGTTGCGCTGAAGTGCGCTTTCCCGCGGTTTGTTTACTTAACAACTTTAATTCTGATAGTAATAATAACCGATGGATTTCTCGCCGTGCAAAGAGCTGCGTTCACAGTTGACACAGATAAGTTAATGTAAGTTGTGTCGCACTGTCGCATAGACAGTACCCCGTTGTGTAGTTGTCTTTGTGTGTGAATGTTTCTGGAGAAGTTTCTAGTTCACATGAATGGGTTAGTCCGTGTTTGCGTCTCTTCCAACACGTTCTATTTATTTCGAGTCTCCCAGTCGGAACAGACAAAACCCTCTTCAATAAGGCCCAAGAAACAAGTCTGAAACTGGGGATGAAACGCTTGAAATCACATAAGGGCACTGAGACTCAGAAAAGGAAAACCAGCCGATAGCAAGAGTTTGTTAATTGATTTAGCCAAAGGCAAACACACAAGCTATGTAGGAAGTTGGTTTTTGACAAAGCCTATAAGTAGTCACCACCTAGTGTATGTGTCCTGAAGAAAACAGTCGAAGTCAACATGGCTTGGGACGATAGGTACAGCAGTGTCCTGAAGAGAGCTCAGCCTGTGCAGTCGAATTAGGCTATGATGACAGTGTTGCCTAGGTAAGCTCAGGCGAACACTGGGTAAGTTTTGCGAGCTCCGCAATCTCGTCCCAACACACACGTGATAGTTTACCGATTTAAAATATTATCCTATCAGTGGTTTCTGTGCTTTATATAATAACTACCATCTCCGTCGCTTGGCGGAATATGCTGGTGCGTTCTAACGACACTGCATCCACACGGGTTGCTTACACTATGTGAATATGTTCCACTCCCCCTTGTTCAGTGCCACCTGGTTCCCCTTGGAACCTTCATTGTGCTATTTTCGCCATTAAACCATATCTTGATCATGCTCAGGTCGACGTAACTTTAGAGCCTAGTACGAAAGTCTGTTGCTTTCTCACACGATCTGACTGCGATTGGCAACGTAGTCCACAGGACGGTGCATTCCATTAGGAAGAACATATAATGTATACTTATCATGCACCTTAATGGAACCAGAGTACAATGTTTGTTACGAAGCTCCCTGATTGCTTTGTGCTGCAATTCTAGCCTACAACCATTTGAATATGTCTTTTAGCAAATCGGATATTGAATCAGCATGAAATTATAAATTTGTAAGTAAAGGGAGTAACTCATAGGCACAATAGCGCTTTTGTTAATGAAAGCATCCCCTCTACGGTATATATATATATATATATATATATATATATATATGTATATATATATATAGGCGATATGGTGAACAAGCTTGAATCTATATTTACAGATAGTTTAGCGAATAGACCGAAACGCCTACTTATCCAACAGTTGCTTCCTAGAAGATTCAGATGAGAACACACTTTCACTGACATCTCACAATGCTTAACTTTCGAGGTTCCAAACCAGATAATCCATCATAATTGTACATAATTAAGTAGCACGGTGGCAGCTTCGTTAACTTGAAACCCTTTAGGTATGTCGAAATAACTGGAGCTTTGTGTAAGTCCGAAAGCTACACCATCGGTGTTTAATCACTGACTGAAACATCACCAGTTTGCTCGTCGTCTTAAGGTAGTTTCCAAGATCTTACTCACTATGCCGTTGTCCAATGAAATTCCCATTCTTGCCGTTTCACAAACAGTTTTATTTATTGTGAATCTGTTTTCACTTATCCATAGGATGATCCAAACATGTTTGCTATAATGGAAAAAACTAGAATGTTTATTTTCGATGGATTTCAACCGGAACCAGCAATCCAAACATCCGCTTTCATTTGCGCTATAAACGATTTGGAAGTATTCGGTGTACTGTTGGACGAAATTGTATCGTTGGGCAATCAACCTTCTAAAGAATGCTTGCTCAAAATCCCCGTCAAGGTAACCAGCTAAATGTGTCTACTTGCCTTTCACATACATAGAATATTAGCTGTAGCGGAGCCTTGCTCTGAAATGTGCTGTAGGTTATCACTTCTCGGTTTATTCGCATAACCTGTCATCGTGGTTGCGAGAACCGCTCGTGCACCGAAACATGTCCTCAATAAAGCCAGATAATTTCATCACCTTGCCTTACCCCTCCATATGCTTGCCTTAGCAACTGTCCAAACTTTTGTCCCGTGGTTCACGTCTGGCTTACACCTTCATTCCCTCACCAAGGATATTTGACTGAAGTCATGTCCCATGCACTAGGTCTAATCTCACCCTCTCCATGGCGTTGCAACATAATTACCACCATCTCAAATTGATGCACAGATCATCAAATTTGACACCCTGCTGAATTGTATGTGTGTGCTTTACGTTCACCAGTTTTCTCAAACTGTGACTGGGCCATTAATGATTGGTTAGTGACTTAAATCATAGTTTCACACATTTGTCACGTGTTCCCTTTCCTCTGACTATCTGCATTGAGCAGCAGTTTCGACAGCACATTTCTTCTCCCCCCGTCTCCCCCGGTTTAATTGTTATTTGTTGTTGTCGGTGATATACCGGGATCCTGATCTGTTGAGGTTTGCCAAATTTATTTAAGCGTTTCTTTTTTAGTAGTACCTTAGATATCGCGCCCTCATATGTGGAGTGTGATGTGTGTGGGAGCTTTGGATACTCGTATTGTTACATACGACGTTGCTGATGCTGCTGCTGCTGATGATGATGATGATGATGATAGCGCTGACGTTGATGATGTTGATGAAGATATCTGTGATGAGGATGAAGATGATGATGATGATGATGATGATGATGATGATGATGATGATGATGATGATGATGATGATGATGATGATGATGATGATGATGATGATGATGATGATGATAGATGATGATGATGATGATGATGATGATGATGATGATGATGATGATGATGATGATGATGATGATGATGATGATGATGATGATGATGATGATGATGATGATGATGATGATGATGATGATGATGATGATGATGATGATGAT